TGTGTGTGTGTGTGTGTGTGTGTGTGTGTGTGTGTGTGTGTGTGTGTTTCTTTCTTTCTTCCCTCCCTAGAACGTGCGCTTGAGAGCTCTGTTCTGCTTCGTGCCAATGCCACAAACATTGAAATTGGCTTAAGAACACCACATTAAAAACAAACGAATGGATTTTATTTTCATGTTTGACTTTTGAGGTGGATAAATGGACTGATAAATGCTTCCCGACACTCCTACTGTTTCTTCTATCCATCCTCCTCCCTCACCCCTGTCCTGACTCTGACTCGGGTCAGGACTTAAGCAACCATTCAATTTGAAAAACCCTTGAATCTGACTTGCATTTTGTGCAGGCCTCCAGACAAGCCGCAGACGCTTGGTAGACAAATCAGATTTCTCTATTCTTGCCACCGAGGGGCCCTTCCATGTTCAGTGAGAACGTTTGACAAGAGTCAGCTGGGGCTGCATTTGAAAGCGTTCACACTGAGATTCAGAACCATAAGGCATAACCAGTCGTGGGCAGATATGTCAAAAGGGTGCTGTCAGAATGCAGGTCAGAGACGAAGCTGACCTCAGGGGTTGAGGAAGGATAAGGACGAAATGCAGAGGAGAGGGAGGGGGAACGTACACACACACAGAACATGTTGGTAGGGGGTTGTTGTGACCAGACAGGCCACTGGGGCAAAGGCTGGTCCCCTGATGGGTGTCTTTCAGCGGGCCCAGGCTGGGTGGGAATGGGATCCGGCGGGTGTGAAATGGTCCTCTCTCTCAGTGACCCAGGCCCCTAGCTAGGTCCAGCCGGCTAACACTGTCGCTTTGTCCTTCAGATTCTCAAAGAGCCCGTATATCAAAGGACTCATAATGGCTGAGCTGGGAATGTATGAGTGCTGTAGGAACTCTGATGGCATCATTGATGACATTCGGTTAACATTTTAACGTTGTGAAAGGCACTGGAAGGATTTAGATGGGCATTGCTGGGATGCTTGATGACAGTGATATGTGCAAGTGGACACTGAGTTGATAACTACTGGAAACTACTTTCAAACTTGTAACAAACTACTCAAGATGCATATCCTATATACTGTATGAATCTGATTAAATCACTTACTGATTGCTGCATGTTTCTGTGATTAACCATATCTTGTTAGAGATGATGACATCCATTTATTTATTTTTTTTTGCTGGGAGAGAACAGATGGGCAGCTTTGGCAGAAAAATGTCGCACCAAATGCAAATATAGCACCTTGTTGTTTCTGTGTTTGCGGCGGTTCTGACTGTTCTTGCTCTTTCCCTCTGCTTTAAAAGAAAGCACACCTCATTGGTGGATGGATGGTGACGATAATGGTAATCTCAAGTCTTTTTTCCATGTGCAGATATCTAAACACACACAGATTGCAGGCAGCCCGATATGTTTTCTTTGTCTTTGGAATGAAAGGAACACCTCCGTCCTTCAGATGAATATCAGTCAAATGTAACACTATAATCTCTTCAGAAACGCTGGACTGATTAGGAACAGGGATAGGTTGAACATATGGCATCTTAACAATGAGGTCTGTGAGGGAATATCAGCTATTCTCACTGGAAAAAAAAACAATCTTTCAATGTGTGGTCGACTCCTCTGTCCATGTGGGACAGTGTGCAAAACATAACAAGGACACAGTTTGATGTGGTTCACGTTGGTGTTCTGTTTGTCCTCGTACACAAAGCTTAGAGTCACATGCAGCTCAGCCTTTGACTGAAACACATGATCTTCACAACTCAATCATTTTTCGAGAATCACAACCTAGTTTCCTGGTGAAACGTGCTGTGAAATATCATCCCTCTCAGATGTTCTCTTCTACCTCCTCTCTCTCTCTCTAGTGACAAGTCTTTTCATGCACATTCAGCTGAACAATGGTAGTATTCTGCAAAAAGAAATGTGGAGGGAGGACTGCAGAGCTTAATAATACAGATAATGACAGGGTCAGCCCAGGAAAGGCTCCCTCTAATACTCAAGTTATTATGGAGAAAGGGAAGGGAGGTGTATAAAGGAGAGAGATGGGAAATTAGGACTTGGCTCTTTCAAACCTCCACCATGCATGTTTTGAGACTTTAATAAAGGCAAGCAATGCTGCAGAGGGAAAACTAATTTTCTTGGCAAATGGTTTCCGTGTGTTCGCCACGTCGCTCCAGTTGACTCATCTCCTCGGTCCGCCTGTTGTTGTTACTGCTGTCCTGAAGCTGTTGGTGAGGAGCTCTGAGAACGCATATCTATCATATACTTCAGACTGTAGCTTCCACTCCCATTTAAAAAAGAAGAAAACAAGTTGGAATTGGAATTTGTGTTGATTAGATGCTGTCGTGAGAGACATCCCCCATGCAACCTGATGCCACTGACCTCCAGGTGAAGCAACCTGGGAATGACCTGTATAACGTGGTAGCCTTAGCCCTCGTCTCACATTTGTTCCCAGCCGATCAAAAGTTCCTAAAAGTTTCCTTCCGTTTCTCACACCTCTCCTTTTCGTCTTCCCCTGCTCTTCAGATCCAGAATGCTGAGAAGAGGATGAGTCCTCCAGGTCATCTGAGACATCCACGTGTCTTTGCTGCTGTCCCTCCCCGACAGCCCTCTTGTCCCACCGGGGACAGACCATCTGCCTCCCCTTGCCCCTCCCCCCTCCCCTGCCCCCAGTAGTAGGCCATCCCAGAGGAGAGGAAAGGCGAGCCCGCCCAAGTAAATATGGCTGGATGGAGGTCTCAGTGGCGTCTCGTCCTGCTGAACTCCCTTGCCTGTGGCCTGGAGATTTGTGTGGCAGCTGGGATCACATACGTGCCCCCCCTGCTGCTGGAGGCCGGAGTGGAGGAGCGCTACATGACCATGGTGCTAGGTAAGGGCTTGGGATCTGGTTACCAGGCCCGTTTTCTTCCTCATAGTGTATGTGTGCACGTGTGTTTTGCTTCTGCTTCCTTCTTTCTCACACACATGCACAGCCTCTCATAATTTCTCCCTCTCTGTCCTTATTCTGACAGGGTATTTATTGTTGTTGTTGTTGTTGTTGTTGTTGTTGTTGTTGTTGTTGTTATTAAACATGACTTGCTCACATCTACACACACACACATAGTGCTGAACTGCCAGGGTTTGATTATCTACTCTGTGGCTTGTTTATTGACCACTTGAGTGTCTTCTTGTCCAATTAATAGATTTTCATAGCCCGTAAGTGCCATTTATTCACTTTGCAATACTTTGTGTCTTGTCATGAGGCTGAAAAGAAATGAGATTGCATTTTAATCAGTCTGAATGCTTTGTGGGCTGTGGTTACATTAAAGCCATTATAACACAGATGAATAACGATTTCATACATTTCTGTTAACGCTATGAGAAGAACAAGATGTGTACTTGTCTAGTGGTGGCCAGCTTTGTGTGTGGGGGGGGGTATTGCACAGAGGCGTGACCGTGCCTCGGGGCTCCTATCTTCTTTCCCGTTCAGGTCATAAAGACATAATTGAGGACGTTGCATAAATCAGTGGACATATCATCTGTTGTAATCGGCGCTAATTGAAAGGCAGCAGGAGAGCAAAGTGCCGGAGGAAGAGCCACGGTTTCCAGACAGACTGAGACATGTGTTGCTTATTGCAATGCATGGAATTCCACTTCACAGTGAACATTGTAAAACGAGGAGCAGCTATGATTTCACTAAATGTATTATCAGCTTTTCTTTTAGTTAGATCACAAAATCATTGTCATGATCTTCGGAGGAGGGACTTAAATGCCATGAAGTCTGTGCTCCTCTGGCATTACACTTAAACTAGGGTTGCACATGCGTGCCACTGAAAAGCAAAGGGAACAATCAGCTGGAGAATACAAAACATTATCGCCAGCTGAAAATATCTCTGCGATGAGGACAATCCAGCTGGAGTGTAAACAATGATTCAATTCGCAAAAAAAAAAAAAAGTTTGAAATAAATGTATCAAGAAGGTGACATGTGTTTGAATCCCGAATGCTCGTCTTTAGGGAAACGTTTTGAACAGCGAGGTCACGGACATATTCGCAGCCTCACTAAACTCCAAAGTTCTACACTGCTGTTGTGTCAAACTGCTGCTGAACCAAAGGAGCGTTCTTATACCTTTACAGAACTCTCACCAATGAAAACGGTCAGACAGACAGGTTTGTTTCTTGAAATAGGTCAGTCATCTCAGTGCTCCCAAATTAGTACCATGCGTGTCTAAAGACACAGTTAGCATCACCCATATGGTATATATTTGCACACTGTAACTGAGTTTACTTGTGTGCAACGTGAATAGTTGCATTATCCTCGCCCAAATGGCCTTCACATGGTCTTCACTAAAGGCGTCTCTTTGAGATATTGCCTTGTGACTATGCAGGCGATAAATACAATTCCACTAAAACCAAAAGGCTCCGTGTGGATGACAGAAGTGACTATTCAAGTATAGAGAACAATATACACTTCTCCTCCTCCCCGTTTCCGTAACAGCTGCTAGTGATATGAAGAAAAATGAGTTCATTGTAGAGGTCCTCCCAAACAGCCTGCACTGTAAGCCAGTCTGGAAATGGAGTGCCTGAGTGTTATTTGAATGAAGATAGATATTGTGTCTTGGGAGGGTTAAAGCCAATTTCCCCTGAGCAGTAGTGTCAGGTTCACAGAGGGCTTCTTTCTACTTTATCTAATAGCCATTTGTTGGCTGCTTCATCTCCTCCGCGAATCGCCACCTTAACGTGGTGGAGGAGTTTGAGTGGCTCAGTGATGCTGGGAGCTATGTTGTCCGGGGCATTAGCCCCTGGTAGGGTCTCCCAAGGCAAACAGGTCTCGGGGGAGAGCCCAGACTAAGAGCGGTTCAAACGACCCTAATGATAAGCAGCCCACGGACTTTAGCCACCTCGCCCGGACCAGGGAAACCGGGGCACCCTCCCGGAGCCAGACCCAGGAGGGGAGCTCTTCGGCGAGCGTCTGGTGGCCGGGCCTTCGCCCATGGGGCCCGGTCGGGCTCAGCCCGAATAAACAGCATGGAGCAGCCACCCTATGGACCCACCACCCGTAGGGACAAGCATCGGGGTCGGGTGCAATGCAGACCGGGCGGCGGGTAAGGCGGGAGCCCTGGGCGAGCCGATCGCCGGCAGCATAGACTAGCTCTAGGGATGTGGAACGTCGCCTCTCTAGCAGGGAAAGAGCCAGAGCTGGTGCAGGAGGTGGAGCGATACCAGCTAGATATAGTTGGACTCACCTCCACACACAGCGCTGGCTCTGGAACCAAGCTCCTGGAGAGAGGTTGGACTTTGTCCTTTTCCGGAGTTGCCCAGGGTGAGAGGCGCCGGGCGGGAGTGGGGATACTCACGAGCCCCCGGCTGAGCGCCGCTGTGTTGGAGTTCTCCCCGGAGAACGAGAGGGTCGCCTCCATGCGCCTACGGGTTGCGGGGAGCAAGGCTCTGACTGTGGTTTGTGCTTACGCACCAAACAGCAGTTCAGAGTATCCGGCCTTCTTGGAGTCGGTGGGAGGGGTCCTGGAAAGGGCGCCACCTACCGACTCCATAGTTCTCCTGGGGGACTTCAATGCTCACGTGGGCAATGATGGAGAAACCTGGCGGGGGGGTGATTGGGAGGAACGGCTTGCCCGATTTGAACCCGAATGGTGTCTCGTTATTGGACTTCTGTGCTTGCATAACGAACACCATGTTCGAACATAAGTGTACCTGGTACCAGAACACCTTAGGCCGGAGATCAATGATCGACTTTGTAATCGTATCATTTCATTTGCGGCCGTATGTCTTGGACACTCAGGTGAAGAGAGGAGCAGAGCTGTCAACTGATCACCACCTGGTGGTGAGTTGGATCAGATGACAGGGGAACCGGTTGGAAAGACCCGGCAAGCCCAAACGTGTAGTGAGGGTGAACTGGGAATGTCTGGCGGAGGACCCTGTCCGGGAGGTCTTTAACTCCCACCTCCGGAAGAACTTCTCTCACATCCCGAGGGAGGTTGGGGACATGGAATCTGAATGGACCATGTTCAAAGCCTCTATTGTGGACGCGGCCGCTAGGAGCTGTAGCCGGAAGGTCATCGGTGCCTGTCGTGGCGGAAACCCGAGAACCCGGTGGTGGGCACCGGATGTGAGGGAAGCCGTCAAGCTGAAGAAGAAGACCTTCAAGGCCTGGTTGGCCCAGGGGTCTCCCGAAGCAGCTGACAGGTACCGGCAGGCCAGAAGGGCTGCAGCTGCGGTGGTCGCGAATGCTAAAACTCGGGCATGGGAGGAGTTCGGGGAGGCCATGGAGAAGGACTTTCGGTTGGCCTCAAGGAGGTTCTGGCAAACCATCCGACGGCTCAGGAAGGGAAAGCAGGGCTTACCCCAGGCTGTTCTCAGCAGGGGACATCGTCGGGCGGTGGAAAGAGCACTTTGAGGAACTCCTAAACCCGACAAACATGTCCTCTGCAGAGGAGGCAGCGCCTGAAGATCTAGGGGGAGGCTCACCCATATCCCTGGCAGAGGCCGCTGAGGTAGTCAAAAAGCTCCTTGGTGGCAAGGCGCCGGGGGTGGATGAGATCCACCCTGAGATGCTGAAAGCGCTGGACATAGTTGGGCTATCCTGGCTGACACGCCTCTTCAATGTCGCATGGGGGTCGGGATCAGTGCCCATGGACTGGCAGACCGGGGTGGTGGTTCCCATTTTCAAAAAGGGGGACCGGAGAGTGTGCTCGAATTACCGGGGTATCGCACTACTCAGCCTCCCGGGGAAGGCTTATGCCAGGGTGCTGGAAAGGAGGCTCCGACCGTTTGTCGAACCTCAGATACAAGAGGAGCAATGCGGATTCCGTCCCGGCCGTGGAACAGTGGACCAGCTCTTTACCCTCGCAAGACTACTGGAGGGGTTCTGGGAGTTTGCCCAACCAGTCTACATATGCTTTGTGGACTTGGAGAAGGCTTTCGACCGGGTCCCTCAGGGGTTCTTGTGGGGGGTGCTGCGGGAGTATGGGGTGCCGGACGCATTACAACGGGCGATCCGATCTCTGTACGACTGCAGTAGGAGCTGTGTCCGCATTCTCGGCAATAAGTCAGGCACGTTCCCGGTGGGTGTTGGCCTCCGCCAGGGCTGCCCTTTGTCTCCGGTCCTGTTCGTGACTTTCATGGACAGGATATCTAGGCACAGCCTGGGGGTGGAGAACGTCAGGTTCGGGGGTCTCAGGATCGCCTCTCTGCTGTTTGCAGATGATGTGGTCCTGTTAGCCTCCTCGGATCGTGACCTCCAGCATTCACTGGGGCGGTTTGCAGCCGAGTGTGAAGCGGCGGGGATGAGAGTTAGCACCTCCAAATCTGAGGCCATGGTGCTCTGCTGGAAACCGGAAGATTGCTCCCTCCAGGTGGGGACGGAGTGCCTACCTCAAGCGAAGGAGTTCAAGTATCTCGGGGTCTTGTTCACGAGTGAGGGTAAGGTGGAGCGGGAGATCGACAGACGGATCGGAGCGACTGCAGCAGTAAAGCAGGCGCTGCACCGGACCGTCTTGGTGAAGAGGGAGCTGAGCCGGAAGGCAAAGCTCTCAATTTACCACTCGGTCTACGTTCCTACCCTCACCTATGGTCACGAACTCTGGGTCGTGACCGAAAGGACGAGGTCGCGGTTACAAGCGGCCGAAATGAGCTTCCTCCGTAGGGTGGCCGGGCTCAGCCTTAGAGATAGGGTAAGGAGCTCGGTCATCAGGAGGGAGCTTGGAGTCGAGCCGCTACTCCTTCGCGTCGAAAGGAGTCAGCTGAGGTGGTTCGGGCATCTAATTAGGATGCCTCCTGGACGCCTCCCACTGGAGGTTTTCCAGGCACGTCCAACTGGGAAGAGACCCGTGGAAGACCCAGAACACGCTGGAGGGATTACATCTCCCAGCTGGCCTGGGAACGCCTCGGGATCCTCCAGAATGAGCTGGAACATGTTGCCGGTGAGAGGGAAGTCTGGGTCAGCCTGCTTGGCCTGTTGCCACCGCGACCCGACCCGGATAAGCGGAGGAAAATGGATGGATGGATGGATGGATGGCTGCTTCATCCTCCAGTTGTTACTTCCCTTCTCTAGTTTCCTCTCTGTTAGCGGAGAAGACACGCTATGCGTTTTAACACAGAGGTGTCCATTACTCTTGCTATTTTAAGCATATTTAGTATTCAAGTAACAAAGTACAATGAGGATTGTGACACATTTTATATTAGGTGGGATCATATATAGTGTGTGTGTGTGTGTTAGGTTAGACACCACACTGATTTGTGTAACGAGCTGGAAAGCAGCATGCCTTGTTTTCAGAGGCTGGAAAGCATTAAGTGTAGATTAAACTCTATGGGGAGTCCATTACTTTACATAAAACGCATCACAATAACCGCATGAAAACATCTTTTGACATTGACAACATGGCAGCTTTAAAAAAAAAAGAGAGAAAAAAAAAAAAAAAAGTGCCTTATTAAAATGCCAAGTGCTAAAATGTTTGTGTAGTTATTGCACTAAGATTTAGAATTGGAGTTCAGCAGCTCGATGGAGACGCGAACAAAAAATAGCTTCAGGTGGTTTGATTTGCACTTTGGCACATGTCGGGTCTTCTTCCTGATGGCGATGGTCCGATTCAGAGAAGAGTGAATGTTGAGTCTGCAAAGATTTTTTTGCGCCTCTGGCGGCGACACCCGTGGCCGGAGGCCTTATGTTTTCGGGTTGTCCGTATGCTTCATTTTGTGAGCGCGATATCTCCGGAACGCCAACAGGGAATTTCCTCAAATCTGGCACAAACATTCACCTGGACTCGAGGATGAACTGGTAGGATTTTGGTTGTCAAAGGTGAACGCTAATATCTCAGGAATGTTTTGAGTGATCGTTCGTCCAAGCACCTTCCACCTATAAAGTGCCTGCCTTTTCTAATGACGGCTTCTCAGATAGTTCTGTGTAACTAACCATCTGACGGTTCAGGTTACACTGTGACCTCACACAACACATTTTTGGCTATAACTCAATCATTTATATGCTAATTATGAGAATTTCACACAAATGTCTAAAAGGACAAAGTGACATTTTGGACAGACGTGGATGTAATCTGTATCACTGGTTGGCGGAGGCAAACAACCGCAAGGTGGTACTTCTATTTATTGCTTGTTTCATTCAGCTCGTGCAGGCTCTGTACGGGCTCATCGTCATTCTAACATATTACCACTAATGCTGTTCTGTGCATGCTGGCAGGCCTGCTTTTCAGGTGCACTGTTAAGTTGACAAACCATGCTGTAATTCCGTATCTAATGTGCATGATCTGGCTGCTCGCTGCATACAGCCTCAATCGTGTGTGTGTGTGTGTGTGTGTGTGTGTGTGTGTGTGTGTGTGTGTG